ATCGTTGTTCACTTTCTTGATCTGTTCTCGAGTAGAATAGTATTGCTCAAGTTTTCATTTCTATACTTTTATATAAATTAGCAGTTTGAAAAAAAGAATGTTTCGAAACGTTGAGATCTCATTAATTGATGGGTCAGGTTAGGACAAAGGCCGATTGGAAGGCTTTTTCGTAAAGCTGATCGGATTTTGGAGTGAAGGGTTGAACGTTTTTTGGAAATTGATAAAGGAAAAATACAACAAAATATTGGAACTCCGCTGGAGAAGAACGAAAATTTTTCAAGATTCAGGGATCACATTCCCGACCGCAACACCTCTGAGTCTTTATATTGATGAAGTAAAACTAAAAATGCATATTTTCTCATACGCTTCTAAACTATCAATTTACAATATTATCTTTCTTTTCTAGTAATTTGATAAACTAGTTCTTTCATCAGTGCACCTGCTATCATCTATATTAAAACCCATCACAGAGACTTATATGTTAAAATTAATTTGATTTATTCTCACCTTAAGATATACAATATTTGAATAGAAAGAAATATCATTATCAATCAGATTGATTAGTATTTACAATAAATCGCTTAACACAAATAATCACACCTTCTCGCAGAGCATCAAGACAACAAATTGATGCAAATTTTTTTTCTCGAAAACAAAGTTAGATTTATAAATACATTTGTCATCAATTTATTATGCTTAATGAAATATTCAAAGAAAATAAATATATCCAAACAGTTTACAAAAAAACACTGATATCTAAATATATTGGTGTATCATATGATCAAATATGTATTTGATTTCAAAATAAACATCGAAAATATACAATTAATTCATAAAGATTAAGCTAAACCAACAAAAGCTCAGATATTGAATGCCAATATGAAGAATATCGATAACTCTTAATGAATTTTTTCAAGAATTATATCAAGCACTGTCATATTCTTATTGCAACAATCAGTGATGTAGAATAAGAACAATAAAATCTTATGTATTATTCTACTGATTATTATCATCACAAAAATAATCAAATCGAACAGAATCACCAACAATATTTAGTAAATTATTGTCAAAATATGCTTTAAAATTTTTTCTAGAACACATTTGTTTTGTATAAACACATTGTTAATTGTTGTCTATGAACAGCATCTATATGAAATAGAAAATAAAACTAGATGGAACACGAGCTTCATTCGTAGTGTGAAATCAATGCAAAGTACTTCGAAAAGTATCTAAAATCTCACTCAGACTTGATACTGAGAATTCCGTTATTATATATATATATCGCAATTAAGTGTTATTATTTGATCGAAATAGTTTCTTTTTATTGTTATATGATAAACTATACAGTTTTGGTCAAAGTTCTTAAACATTGTGAGAAACCGAACCAACCTGCATCTCTCACTAAATAGTTCCATGATAATTAGGCGAGGATGAATCGAACTAAGTGAGGTACTGAGAGAATCAAACACTTAAGTGATACAGCTTCACAAAAAGATTGAGTGAAATTCATAGAAACGTTGAAATTTCTAATACCAACGTTGTTTATATAATCTGTTACGTTCTATACACACTACTACTCAGAAGCAAAGGAAAACTCTTTCAAAAATTGTCAAATGATGCCTTACAACAGGTGAAATCGAACGATATTTCTACCTTATGTTCCTTAATGAATACATAATTTCTTCACAAGAAATGATAATTTTAATGTCTTTCTTATTTGAAATTCTTATTTAATGTATTTGTGAGTAGGGCACCACTTTATATTAAGTTGCTTTGAAAATTCAAAAACAACTGGTACTCTTACTTGAAGGACTTTTTCATCCGTCAACTACTATTGGCGAAAGCAAAAATTAAATGAGATACAAAGTTCGATTTTAAAATAGACTTCATGTTTTTAGATTTATTTTTATTGAGATGTAAGTCTTTATTTAAAGTTGCATGATACTAGCATGCGGCAAAACTTTCACATTAAAACGATGTTTTTTTTCTTTAGTATTTAAGCAATTAGAATATAAATCTTGGAACTACCGGTTGTTAAGAGTTTTTAACAATTTAGTAAAAAACAGCTCAGAAATGAGCTGGAAATTTCTAGTTTACATCGTATTTAGGTTCCATATTGGTGCATAAATTTATTTAACCATCATTAATGCATTCATTATACCTCGAGACCACTCATTCTATAGTGGAAAGTGTTAGGTCACAATTTTAAACTGAAATTTCGAGTCCGATTAGAAACATATTGATTCAAAATTTCGAATTTATTTTTCTCGAACATTCAAACTATAAAAATCAATAAAAACTAGATGACACACAAGCTAATCTCGTGATGTGAAGTACATCTCAAAATCGAACTTATCGTTTATGTAACTACAAAACTTTCGAATTGGTCGAAACGTCAAATTTAGAGAAAAAAAAACATTTGTATATTGTACAAAGTAGAACAATGAGTTGAATGCATGTTCCATTATATACAGCACAAATCAGTTATTAGGAAATAAATCGAGTTTTGTGCTAACTGAAAATCAATAGGTATTGTATCTAGCGTCCGTGAAAAGATGAGCCAGAATAATGACGTTTTCCTACACTCCTCTCCGTCCGTGAATTTGAAATTTTTGTATCGGTATCGAGTCAAGCATGATTCTTGCCCTAGTGAATCACTGATTAAATGAGTACTCATGCTAGAAAATGCCGTGGGTTTTGAGTATTCCTGCCAAAAATTTGAGTGTCTGAGGACGACAGTTGATTACTCTTCATGTAATACTGAATGTTTTGTGGGTACCTTATATAAGATTTTTTTTGTATTCTAGTGATCTATGTAAAATAATAATCATAAGCCAACATTATGTTTAGTATTGCCGCATTACATCTATTTTATTTAAGTATAAAACTAAATAACAAAAAATATGGACAAACGTAATGAATATTTGAAAACAAAAATGAAGATGAGAATTATAGCTATCATTTTATCTTGAAAATAAGATTTTATTTATTTGTTTAAAAGATCAAAGAAAACAATAAAATTTTAGAAAAAAAAAATAAGAAAATTTGTTTTTAATAAAATATTTAATGGACAAGAAATTGTACAACTGTATCATCTTTAATTTCATATTATGAGAAAAATCATTTCTGACCAACCATTCTATATCTGCTGTGTATTTTTTTTAATAATAAATTTGCATGATACCGAAATAACACAGATTGAGCACAGTAAAATATGAGAAAAGATAAATAGAAAATAAATTATTCAATAAATATACGATATTGGTTATTATACAAAAAAAATCGACTAGACATTTGTTTTTAATTTGTAACTATCTGTAGTCTTTTGGAAATGTATAAAGAAATACAGAAAAAAAATTATTTGTCTCTAGTATATTATCCAGATATCTTCATGATTTTAAATTTCAATCAACTTCTAATAGGAGTTGTTAGTTCCTTTTTTTTCATGACATTTTACACATAATCGGAAAGTCTGCATTTTAATACAGAACTTTTTATCAAAATTTAGAAAATTAAATTTTAACAAATCTCTCTTAACATGCTTAAACAAATATTCAATCTCACCCGACATGTTAACAGTTTAAAATGAAAAGTCTGTTTTTTTTTACTTTCTTAAAGTCATCATTCAACAAAGTTATATAAATAATTCATCAGCAAGGGTGTGGGTGAAACACTTATCTATACCCACACTCACACCCTACCTGATGAGATCCTTGAGCAAGGTCGAAACACATCGTAGTTTGCTTGACTCACCCTGTTAAAACGAAGCTGGAATAATACGTCATTCAATAAGTTGTTGACTGAAGTTTGATTTACTAAATTACTGAGATTGTTTGTCCAGTGCTATATAAATTCTTGAGTGTAACGATGAATTGCGAAGATGAGATTAAGATGAAGGAATGATGGTGCTACGGTTATTATGAACGTACTTTATTACTTCTATTTTCTTTCATCATGTTCTAGAAAATACGTTGTGCTTTTGATTCGCTAAACTCTCTCGATTTGGGAAGAATAGACATGATTGTTTTTCAAAATTTAGTTTGAAATGAAAAAGGTCATATAATACACAGGAATTGATAGGTCGCCACGGATCGACATGTGAGAATAATTTTTAGAAGTCGAGGAACTTTTGGCGAAATATAAGCCGAGAAGGTTTACTGGATAGATACTGCGTGAGCAAAAAAAAGACATGTTGTGTGCATCTCTGATCCATATTAAATAATAAAAAATATTCACATAGAAGAAAACATTATTATAAAGCACGAAAAAAAATACAACATGTGAACTTTTCGAAACGATACTGGAATAATTGAATTGAAATATTTACAAAAGATTCCAATTAGAATTTTATTTTATCTTCTTATTTTACATCTTCATTAAGAAAAGTGACAATTGAATGGTGTATTTGAAAGATGTGTATTACGACTAAAAATCTGTTGTTGTATCATTACGATGATATTTATCTGATATGTTTCTCTTTTTAAGACCTTAAAAATGTTTTTTATCTGTATTGCATTTTTTATTCATAGAATCGTTTTGTAATGTATGTAAAGAAAAAAGAGAGAAAGAGAAAGATGTTGATAGAACGAAAGTTAAACGAGTCCAACATGTAAGAAAAAAAAGGATGTCTTTACGTACGAAAAACGCAAATTTTATTGCATTAAAAAAATTTCTTCCAAGAAAAAAAATGAATTGATGATATTTAATATTTTTTCGAAAGATAATTTTTAACCAACTAGAATCTAAGTTTTTTGTTTCGATGTGTGCGTGTGTCTATGAAGTAAAATAAGTTATGTAAATAACAAAAAAAATACATTGAAGAGTTCTATTTGACTAAAAATAGAATTAATTTAACAGCGTAGAATCAATCACATTCGATCTTTAAATGAAAGAGAAACAGAAAGAAAGTTTTTTTCTTTTGTTTTTCTTCTTCAATATATAAAATAATTTGTACTCTATGATTTCATTTAAAAAAATTCTTTCTCTATTGTAATTTAACAATGGCAAAACTTGAATCAACAACAACTAAAAAGTTAGAGATATATTTTTGTTTTAAAAAGAAAATTTTTATTTTTTTAACATTTAGTATAATTAATGAAAATCGTGATGATATTGATGATGATGATGATCAATTAAATGTATCATATAAAATAGTTCCAACTATTTATAATACAACTAAAACAGGTTATAAAAAATATTTATTATTTTCAAAATAAATTTTTTTTTTTAATTTAGAACCACACAAAAAAGATGTTCCATTAACAAAAGAATCTTCAACAATAAAAGTTTTAGTTTTCTTAATAAAATTTAAATTTTATTTCTTTTATATAGGTAATTGAATCTAATGATCTTAATGTTAATATAGAATATTTAATTGGAAAGGAACCAGAAAAATATATTTATACACCAATTCCAAAAGATTATTTAGGTCTTGTTCATTGTACTGTAAAATATAATAAAGAAGGTCTTATATCAAAAACATTTTCTTTATATTTTAATGGACAAAATGAAAATGATCGAGTATTTTTATTTAGAATGAACAAAAAAAAATTTTCTTTTTTTATTTGAATCTCTTTTTTAAGACTTTTCTTTTAACTGCACGAAAACATATAAGAATTGATGGACATTCAGAATATTTTATTGGAAATGATGAAAAATCATTAAAAAATCTCAATGATGAAAATTCAATTGCAAAATTAAAAGGTATTAACATAACTAGTACCGAATATATTCTTTATAATCAAAATAATCAACAATCAGTTGCCATTATTTATGTAAGTTATTAAAAATTATTTTTATTTAAAATGTCTTTAACTCTCATGTATTCGTTGTTCTTGTTTAACTTGAGTAAAGTAAACTTTTTCATTTTTATATCTTTTCTTTTCTGTTGTTAGATATGTACCATTTTTTTCACTTGTAAAAGATTTACAAGAATGATCAGTTGTTGTCGAAAATAAGCAAAATTTTATATAAAAGAGTCATTTATCTATCATGAATAGTAGTATTACATCTGTTCTTTATAAAATCGAAAGTTGATGCATTGATAGTTTACTAATTCAGCAGCGAAAGTTTTTCGTATTATTTCTAAGTTACCCTACAGCTGCAGTCAAAAAAACCTTGTACATCTTATTATGTAAAGATATCCTTGTATATATATATATATATATCATTGTTAAGTAGTTTTATGTATTGGTTGATAACTTACAGTGAGTACTATTGAACACTATATTTCAACATTTTATTTCTTTACCTGTTGAACAAATAAGAGACAAACATATATTGTTCATAGACATCACGCAAATTTTTGCAAACATTAATATTAGTATTTTTGAATTCTTCGACGGAAAAAAAAGTTCAAGTTCATCAATATTTTTGGATTTTTGCTCTTTTCAACTGTACATCTTATGTTATTTGTATATATGGTGGGTGTAAAATCATCATTTTTATGCTGTTTGGTTCATTGAGCTGGTCTTTTTATATCATCAAATTTTAACATATGAATACTTTTTTGGTAAAATATCTCTATGACCGTTTTCATGAAGATGACGATATATTGTTAATACAGATACTGATGAATGGTATGTTGTCGATAACTTTTTTTTCATTTCCACTCAGTACACTTGGTCGATTATTTCTGTCTCGATTTCAAAGTGAATTTGTTTGTGTTTTAATTTATTGATATTGCAATAGATAGTTCTGAGTAGAATATTTGTTTCATGATGAATAGCAGAAGCAGATCGTATATCTTGGTTGCAAAAATATAAAATTGACATATAATGTTTTTTTAAATCACTGGATGATGATGCCATGATTAAGCATGTATGTATTGAAAAGAAAAGAAATCACATTTCTGCATGGTTAGCCTATAGTATAGCTAACAGATATATATTTCTGAAAAAAAATGAATTTCATAATTTCCTTTTTTATGATAAGAAAACCGTTAAATAAAAAATTCCATTTTGTGCAAAGAACTGCACAAGATGCTTTCCATTATATATTAAAAATGTTGTAAATAGATGTCTGTTTAGGATCATCATACAGAGTTTCGTAAGTATATTGCCATCTGCAGACTATTTTGTCCGATGTGAGATTGTATAAGTGTTTCTGATGATCATAACATGTGAAAACTAGCAAAGAACCTTGGGAAACATACACATGATGTAACTATTTGTGACGGATAACTAACTGTTTCAAGCTGGATCCTTTGCGCAAATCTTATATAAGTGAAAAAAATGATGCAGTTGTAACAACGAGAAAAGAACATAAAAATGAAAAGTTTAATTCACCCATTTTGTTTTCAGACTTGAACGAAGGCAGTTAATACACTAGAAATATTCATCAAGATCTCTATCGAATAGAATATTTTTAAACTTGTTCTCAGGAAGGACATTCAAATATGTTTCCTCAGAAGATTATTTATCAACATTAATTGTTCTTCGAAGTGTAAATCTCTTTTCTATTATGCTATTTTTAATTCTACTGATAAAGATGATAAATACAATTAGAAATAAACTGAAAATTATAGATAGAATTCGCAATATTTTTTTTATAATACAGAATGTTCCGTAAGTCTTTAGACAAAAAAAAAATTTGAATAACTCTATTACGACTTGACCAAATGAGCTCATTTTTTTTTACCAAGGATAGAGGCATGTTCACACTTCAAATTCATATGGACAAGGTTAGTGAGGACTATTGACTTCAATTAAAAAAATTTTACTTTTTCACA